ATGCATGGTAGTTTTATGCATTAAATTTTTTTAACCACACCAGATACATAGCAAAAGTGTATTTGACAGTCCACAGTCTGCAAGTGGGACGGGAAAAATATGATGCATTAAACTTTCTTGTAATTAATTTTACTTTTATTGTAAAAAATATAACTGTTTAAAATAATATTTGTAAACATGGCAATAAAAAAATACAAAATAAAAGTTGTAATAAATATATGTAGTTTTATATTTATATTGTATTTCTAAATATGCATATTGAGTTGTGTAGTTGTATATAGTTGTATGCCGCTGATATCTATAATTTTCTATTTTCTATACAATTATTTTATAAAATTATACAGACATAAAAATTCTATCATTTCATTTTACCTAATAATTTTGAAATTATACATATTACACAACTCAATATGCATATATATAATCTTGTACAAATGTGAACGTAGAAAAAGAAATATTTTAAATAAGTATTTTACAAAACTTTATTTTTATGTCTACTCATACGTGCTAATTAATAGGGCAAAATAATGATTAATTAGCATGTATAAGTAGACATAAAAATAAAGTTTTGTAAAATACTTATTAAAAATATTTCTTTTTCTGTGTTCACATTTGCACAAAACAGTATATACAGGGTGTCCCATTTAACCTGACAAATCGTAATATCTGGAAAACTACATGTCGGATCAAAAAAGTGGGTAATGAAATTTGTTCGTCTCGAAGGGGGACATCCATGATATCAAACTCGACCTCCCACCCCTCTCCCGGGGAGTGGGGGTGGGGGGCAACTTTGAAATCTTAAATGGGAACCCCCATTTTTTTTATTGCAGATTCGGATTCTACGCCACGTGCGTAAGTTTCGTCCGAAACTTTTTTTTTTATTCGTGATAGATGGCGCTGTAATCGCAAAAAATTAGATTTTCTGCAACTCTTCAGAATTCTTTTTAGCAACATTTTATGTCATTGCTAGAAGTTTTCCGTGCGGTCTTGAAATATTTCTTCCCTAATTGTGGGCAGTGCGTTGCGAGAAAGATATGAAGATCAAGACGGAAGAGATTTTGGCTTACCGATAAGATCTGCTGCTCGCCTCGTGCTTCCTCTTGTGGCGCGTACGCATCGGTGGTGCGACAAAGACGGAGAGCGATTGATCGTCTATGCTTGTCTAACTTATTATCTCTTGTAAGGGGAAGTAGAGTGAGCAAGAACCGTGCACGCTTTGCTGTTACCGTTAGGACGGATGTAGTGTGCACACATTTTCTCAGGGGACGCGTCGGAATTCGGCAGAAAAAGCGGCCCGCGCTTATATAAAATATTGCAGTAAAAGCAAAGAGGTTACAAATAGACGATTCCAAGGAATTTCTAAATGTGTGTGATTTAATTTTACACAATTATTTAAAGTAGCTTTTTATTTTCTATAAGTATAGCTATCGTCTGAACTACAATCGGAACACAAATAATAACATGGTAGCATTTAGAACAAAAATCGTCTATTTCTGGCCTCTCGGTAAAGTTTAATAAAAAATATTAATTATTAATGAATTTGGTTAATTGTAGTTAAAACGGTAAAGAGAAGTCTATTTTATAATGCTGCCAAGTTGCAAGTCGATTGGTCAAATAGTTATTGAGATATCGTGCGCACCGTGGAACCTCCTTGCTTTCACTGAAATATTTTTCATATTTTTAATCTTATATGTAGAAATTTATATACATTCTTTACAAACATCACATTAAACAAACGCTCAAAACAAAAATCCTGTAATCTTAAAGAAACAGGATATTAATCTAAAAAATAGAAACGATCAGAAATAATCGCTCGGTACTTCTAATATTAACGAATTATATTCCGGTTAAAATAATATAAATCGTATAATATATTCCGGTTAATATAATATAAGTCGTATAATATATTCCGATTAATATAATATAAGTTTATAAGTTTCACTGGATAAGTCCAGTGAAACTGGACCTAAGTAAGACTTACGTTTAACCGTTTCACTGCTACGCGGCGCAAAAGCGCTGCGTTCATTTGTCTCGAAAACCGCGACGCAGCGCTTTTGCGCTGCGAGTTTCAGTGTGTCTTTGTTGCTCCGTGGAAGTGAACGTAGTCTGACCTCACGCGTACTTTGTAACACGAGTGCATTCTAAAATAACTTTTTACCGTTTTTATATATTATTTTTAAAAAATAACCATGTCACGGGCTATTATTTCGGACGTTGATTCGATTGCTAGTGATTCTGAGGATGGTGAAAGAACAGACACAAGTAGTGATGATAGCATTATTATAACTCATCGAAGAAAAAGACTGAGGATTGAAAGTGAGTCTTCTATCTCATCTTCATCTTCAGAAACAGAAGAAATACCAACTTTTACGAATATTCCTCCGACAAATGTGTTTTCCAAAGCAACAAATAATTTTTTCGAGACTCCTGGACCACATCAAAAATTATTGACGATATCGAAAAGGAGTGGATGAATCATAAAAATAGCGTGTCAACACAACCATCTTCATCAACCAAAAAATTTGCGCTTGAAAAATTACCGGGACGTAACTTACGACAATGTGCGGTGTGTAGCAACAGAAGGAGCGGGATCAAGCGATCCCGCCTTATTTGCGCTTGTTGTAAAAAAGGCCTTCACGCTATTTGTGCGGCAAAACATAGTTGTTATACATAAATTTTTCATGTAAGAGTCAGTGATCTTCCCCTAATCAAAATGATCCTTTACGTGCTGATCATAAGAGAAGATCAATAAACTTTAAGTTATCTTTTTATAAATTTTAATTTTCAAAGAAAAAAACAATTTAATGTTTATTTTTTCTTATTCACAATCACAATTAATATTGTTTCTTTATAATACGAAAAGAATTATTAAAATTGATTGATATTTGTCTAAATGAGAGTGTTTTATTTGACAACATCAAGTCAAAATATGTCCCGCAGTTTTCGTGCGTTCTTGCAAGAATTGCTTAGCAGTCAAACGGTTAAGCGAATGTTCTCTTGAAACTGAAAACATTAATAATAATAATAATTATAATTATATTTCTATTTATCTTTTTTCTATACTATCTAACTATCTATCTATCTATTTCTCTATATCTATCTATCCATCTATCTATTTATCTATCTATCCATCTATCTGTCTATCTATTTATCCATCTATATCTATCTCTATATCTATCTATCTATCTATTTATCCATCTATCTTTTTTCTTCCTATGTATCATTGCAACCTATCCTGTTCTATCCATATTTCTTGCAAATGCAAACAATTAATATTACATTAATTTTTATATTAAAATATATTTTTTATACTATAACATGCTGAATTAATAATTAATAAAATTCAACAGGTTATACTATAAAAACAAACACTTATGTAAAAAAATTATTATATTATTAAAAAGTTTGCATTTATTTTTTGACGGAGATCACCATTTTCTCGCGGTTTCCGTTGAGCAACAATATGCACGTTATCTATTCGTAAAATTAAATAATAAAGTCGTAATTGAAATATGATAATAAAACTAATTTCTTCTTTTACTAGACTAAATTTATTTTTGCTACGAAAAGAAAAATGTAACAATGGAATATCTTTTACAAAACAAATAACATTTCATTTAATTTTTAATTTAAATTTATTAGCATAAATAAATTATTCTGTCATATACTTTAATAACAAATCATTTTTAAAAGATGTATATATTGGCTAAGAGTGGATTTCTATTAACTTTTCGTCTCTCATTATAATTCTCTCTTCTTTATTTGTGCATTAATACTAAATATTCTTTATATACATATATACTATATATGTGTCATTTATTTATATATATATATTGTCATGTAATTAATATATTTAACGAAGCCGTAAGAACACGAGAAGAGAGGAAGAGCGAGCAAGTGCGTGAGAGAGAGAAAGAACGAGCGAGAGAGAGAGAGAAAGAGCGAGGTATAGGAGTAGCGAGAAAAATCTCGCGGCTCACGCAGTCAATAAGCTAGACGAGCGGGAAAGAAACAAATAATATGTCGACGCTCGTCTAGTCTCCCATGTGCTACCTCGCGTGCGTGAAAAATAATTCCTCGCTTCGCACGTTCCCTTGACACGAGACGCTACCGCGTCTTTTGATGTCTCTGGAGCGTGAAAGATGAAAGAAAAGCGGAGAGATGTTCGCTTAGTGATAAGATCGCCGCTACCTCGCCTCGTGTTTACTGCCGCGCGCCGCTCAGTAGTGAGACAAAGACGGAACGATTGTCTGTCGTCTGTCTTTTTCTAATCTACTATCCATTGCATGGAAGTAGTACGGACACGAACCTAGGCGCATTTTACTTTTATCACCGTGAAAGTGCGCCTAGCGGACGTAGTTTAGGCGCATTTTGGTCAGATGGCGTATCTAAAATGCGCCTAGCCATATCCCCCGAAATACGGCCGGTGGCCGCTCTCATTCTTCTCTCTGGTTTAATCCAACGTTGCGCAACTTTGCAAATTTATACCCACGGAGACACAGCTCCGCGGCTGGCAGAGAAGCTGGTGTGGTCCCGGGGCGAAAGAGACGGGGCTAGGCGACAGAACGACGGCTACGTGGATGCGGTCCCGCGGCCGGTGGTGGTTGCAGCACGGACATAATCCGCCTGAAAGTAGATGTAGCACGGACTTCCACCAAATTTTACCACCGAGACCTGAAAGTGGATGTGGCATCGTAGTTCCCTTCTCAAAATGGATGCAGATGGCGTCCTTTCCCAGTGCGGAAAGTCGGTGTCGCAGAAAATGCCGTGTTAGCCGCTCTCAGGTTTCTGCATCCACTTTCAAGTCTCGGCGGTAAAACCTGCATGTGGTGGCAAGTCCGTGCTACATCCACTTTCAGACGGTTTATGTCCGTGCTTTTCATCATGATGATGGACCTGCCATATGTAATATCGCATGGCCTGCATTGCATTTAAGCACGAGTTGTCGCGGCTCGTGACACAGCTAGGCGCATGCGCACTAAAGCCTGGTCGTAAAATAATATCCTTCCATTACTGCGCTACTAGTGTTGCGAGAAGTATCGTTCTACCTTTATTCCGTGCTAAGCTTGGACTAGGATGAAACATTTTGAATGCTCGAAGCGGTTTGACTGCAGCCTAATTAACCCATCACAGACTCGACGAATCACATTGTTCAATCATCCAAATTGTCGAGCTCCTGACAGACCTTTCCCGTTTGTTCAATGGTAAGTTGATTAACAATTTCAATTCAATTGTTGCCTATATTTAAGAACATCTATAATTCATCATCGGACATATATGGGTCTTTTTATTGGCTACAAAGCACTTGAGGACGTCGAAGTTCATCCGTAGATTAATTGAGAACGATTTAAATACGAGATTCGATTGAAAATATCTTTGAAATAGATTCAAGCCTTTTTCAGTTGAGATTCAAACCGATTAGTTGAGTTTCAAATATCAAGTTGTACAGTGTGTTTCATGACGCCACTAGATGGCGCCGGGTAGACCGTTTAATGTCGCAATAATATTACAAGTCATTTCATTTAATGCGAATGTCTTGATTTGTGACACTTGCGCTTACTTTTCTTGATAAATTATCTAATATGGATCTATATTTATCTTAAACTGTATTATTACTCTAAATGTTACATATTATAGCACATTCATAAATATTTTGCGTTTAACATAAGATTACATCCGCTTAAAACTTGTGAAACATTTCTTTTTCATTAAAGAAATCTTTATAAATAGTGCATTAAAGGTTATTATTTATACACGCGTATAAATCCTTAATGCAACTATGCAAATGATCGATGTTCATTTCCGTTTCGCAAAAAAAAAAGAAATAAATAAAAATAAAAAGGATCTACAGATCTAAGAAGACTGCGTAACAGAAAGCCAAAAGCCAGCCTCGCTCGAGGTAACGAGACTCCGTCTGCTGAATTTGATCGGCACGATCGATTTATCGCAGATCTCGACCCGATGATTCTTGAGGAACGATATCATGCCCATCTTGATCTGCAGCAACGCGAACCGCATTCCTACAAACATTGCGAAACGTGAATACATCCGCGTCAGTTGTATCGTGATGATGAGGCGGCGCTTTGTAATATCTTTTATTAATCTCTACTAACAAGCTTATCGAAACGTGTTACATGCTTATCGAAACGTGTTGGACGTTTTTTTGCAGAAAGTACGCGCACACGTGGATATTATAATCGTGTCCTGTACGGTGCATAAATCTCCACATTCGTCTGAGCAAATTTGCCGTTCACCCCTCAGCTGAATAATTATTTAGGGCGAAAGTTATCGCGATAATTCGCGATCTCTTGTTCGTTATTTGTCAATTGAAAATAATAAGAGGAGTAAACGTCAGAGGAATTCAATGCGATATTGTTTCGCGCTTGAGAGTTGGCCGAATCGATACGAATCGACGTGAGAGGAAATATGTTCGCGGCAATAAGAGGATCGAAGGCGGAGTTATCGGATATTCGCGAAGTCTATTACTGTACAATGTCTCATTGACCGTCACGAAATAATTCGCGTCGTTGTTCTCGGGTAGCCGATTGGGATGAAGAATCGATAATATCTTTCTGATGTACGCGCGCTACGCAGTGTATTACGTAATGTGGTCGCGTTGAGTCAACAGATTATGAATTCTGTATAGGCTGTTTGCCTAATCGATTATTCGCGATTATAATGCCGATACCGTTCCCAACTATTTCACGAGGCGATTCAAAATGAACAATCTATTCATATCACGACCGCAAAATCACTGACCGCAAAAGTCGTGGCGCAGTCTGAAGTATATCCGACAGATTAGCGAAGTCCATTAATTAATTCCTCGTAGATCAAACAACGCAGTTGGGATTTATGGCTAGACGTGGTTAAAGCGCAGCTAAAATCGAAATATAATTTTCTCCGTTTCGTCGGTAATCGAAAACGCTCGATAAACTTTTTAGCGATAGAACTCTCTCGATTACATCAAGTTGAGCCGCGAATCTCCCAAGAAGTTTTGATTGTTGAAGCAGACGAGGGAGATTTTAACGTAAAACAAGAGCCGGTCGAAATTCGACTGGGTGTCACGGCAGCTGGACGAATCAAAGTCCATACCTATGCAATTACGTGGCCCTTCGCCAAATGGAAGATACGTGTAAGGATGCCTCGTACGTTTATTCTCCTCCGTGAACCTCTCCGGATCGAACGTCGCCGGGTCGGGATAATAATTCGGATCGTGATGAAGTCCGTAAATTGGTATGACCACCCGCATGCCTGCTGGAAGTTCCACTTTGCTATTCGGTATTTGGTACTTGTACTCGCACTTTCTCGAAAGCAGCGGGGCCGGCGGGTACTTTCGGAGAGTCTCTGAGCAGAGGGAGTTCGCGTTTATTACTCATCAGAAATTATTGTCCCACTAGAAAATCGTTTCGCGACGCGAGAAGATTCTTCAATTAATATGTTGATTAGATCATGACCTCTTATTGTTCCTATTACTCCTATTACTCCTATTAGCTGTACGTTTAATTTGCCGTAATTTGTTTAATATCATTCGCATATGCACATTACGTCTTCTGTTGACCAAGAGTTTGCTTTGATCTTCTGCTTCGACGAAAAAAAGGGAAAAACCAGCCATCTTTTACAACATCTTTTATAACAGAACCGCGAGAATTCATAAACAACGACATTTGAGTAAAAAAGATGTTTCTATTGAATGCAACAGAGAGAGAGAGAGAGAGAGAGAGAGAGAGAGAGAGAGAGAGAGAGAGAGGGAGAGAGAGAGAGAGAGAGAGAGTCGAGTTTGACTCGATAGTCGTGCCGTACGTTTTAACCGACTCAGTTCTTGAGATGTGGCTGCGTCATATAGTAGACGTAATGTGTAGAATATCGCTGTGGAAAATCGATATTCTTTCCTTTCTCTCGCGTTTCCTTCCTTTTAAAGATTTCACGCTTTTCACGTAATCTTTAAGAGCCCAACGAACTAGACAGTAGATTGAGGATTTGAAGCCCGTCGTTCGCGAAAATGCCCTTTGACGAGAGCGAATCAAGTTTCAGCGTTCTCCTCGTATCAATGATATCGCTTCAGACCCGTACCTAAAATTACCATGTCGAGATATTTCATTTCCTGTACCGCCTCGTAAGTTAATTTTCCACCTCGCGCCTCTATGGCGTCGCGGATATCTCGTCTGGCCCGTTCTTGGATCTCCTGGTTGGAAGCTAGCTCGTGAAGGCAGAACGCGATTGTGTTGGAGGATGTTTCGTAGCCGGCGGCGAAAAAAACGAACGCCTGCGCCGCGATGGTGTTCTCGTCCAATTCTATAAATAATTTCACGCGATCAAGCCGGCAGAGAGAAGGTCCGCATTTGTTTTTCCACGTTCAAGCCCACGTACAAGTCTCTATAAATTTCTCCACATATGGGTTCCGCGGCAACGTACGCACCTTCGCTCTGCCGATCAATATTATTTGAGCGAGTTTGATTACGGAGGGAATTTTATCACGAGGATCTCTTCGTGCCGCTCTTATTTCGTTACTCTTCCCTCGATACCGGCTAATATGCATTGAGAGCATCAAACGCGAGAGTGAACGTTTGCGCAGCTTTATAATCACTTAGTATCCAAACCCGAAGAAGAAGCATATTCGGATGAAAAAATGTTTCAAGCGAACAATTGCGACATTTATGCACGACACTCAATCGATGCGAAGTCTTACATCGATTTTCGTGAAACGAAATGTTCAGCGATCGCTCGAGGAGGTGTCTTTGCAAAGAACCCAACGCTCTCTTTCGCTCAGACCGAAGAGACGGACCGTAACAGGTTGAGTTTACCGATTTCCTTAGCTGCCTGGGCGTCCTCCTCGCTGTAGAACTGCGTGCTTCCGGCTTCGTTCTCCAACGTGCCTCTGTTCTTCAGCTCGACCAGTAAATCCATGAAATCGTGCCTCCTCGTGCTGTTCTCCTCCCTCTGGCTGATCATTTGCGACACCACGTTCTTGAAGAACCTGGTGACACTCGGGTCGATGACCTGCACGCCCAGCCACCTGTACAGCCTCGGCACGGCCGTTCGTAGCATCCTCCAGAGAGTGGCCTTGTAGCTTGGCTTCGAGAGCCTCTTTGCCGCCCTGTGAAACTCGGATTCCTCGTTGGTGAGCGCATTTATCTGTATGCCGAAGGCGCAGCTGCCGATGACGTCGATGGTGAATTTCGCCGCCAGCTCCCGTACCTCGACCACCGTTCGATCCACGTTGCAGCTCGTGTCGATGAGCTTCTGCAGCTCCTCGCTGCACTCCACCAGCAGGTAGAACATCCGCTTGAGCTTGCCCGATGAGAAGGCGGGCGTCAATTTCGACCTGAGGCCCTTCCACTTGCGCCCTTCGAGATTGAACAGGTGTCCGGAGAGCGGGTCCTGACGTGTACACGAAACAGATCGATGTACAAAGCGCGATGAAATTCACGTGCAACGTCAGTGAAAATGCCGAGTGAGTAGAAAATGTGTAGATGTGTGCGTAGCGGGGTTTCGAGACTAACTCAGTTCTCATTCAGTTCCTCTAGCGGAGGAGGCACCGATCGAGAAGGAGACCAATCGAGGACGAAATTAAAGGCAAAGTCGTCGATCGCGAAGAGACCAAAATCCGGACGACGACACGTACCTGAAAGTTATTGATCGGAATCCCACGGTTGGAGAAGCAAGCAAAGTCCTTCACGCACACACTCCTCACCAGATCGGGATCGCGTATTATCAGGACGGGTGATCTTACGCGAAACGCACCGAAGAACCTTTCATCCTTGAACCACTGGTACATCTCTTCGACGCTCTCCGGCACTGACTTGCGGAATAATAGCGAGGAGCTGAAGTTGCCGACGAGCACAGTCGGTTTCCTGAACGGTACGCCGCGGCATTCCCAAAAGTTGAATGTCGCCGTGAAGTATAAGTACAAGGCACCGAGGAACAGGAGCCCGATCAACAGGAAGGGACGGTCCAGTAATTCCGTCGCGACGTCAAGCATTTTCCTCGACTTGTACTCGACGCGCAAATTTCCCGAGAGCAACCGCTTTCTTGTACGCTTTTATAATTTACAGAATTAAATACTTTAACCATTCGCGTCGCGTGCAATAATCTGTAACGTTACGTCACTGCTATGTGCGCGATTTAATTCATAATACGTTTAACAATTAATAATTCATGATGCGTCACTATCAGCGACGCTACAATTGACGATGTATAAACTACACTTGTAATACGGCTTTTAATAATAACGCGACGCTCACACCAAGCGTTGACTCAATTGTTATACCGGATCGTTCACCTCGAGTATCGATTTAACGTTGCGGAATTGTCATCGCGGTGAGGACGTTCGGTTACTGAAGTCTATTTTTAACTCCGCTCTACAAACGCACGCACTTTGCGGCACAAAGGAGTATCGGGAAGAAGGATTATGACGTTTACGGGCGCATTGTGTTTGCAGTGACGGGTTCGATTATACGTGAGCCTAGTCATACGTGCGCGCACAAGCGCTCGCACAGCTGTTTAACGGCCGAGCTCTTTAACGCGAGTGTGCACAGTTCGCCGCTTTAACGCGTATATTTTCCCATCGAGCATTAAAACACTTTCCGTCTGAGCACGAGCTAATATCTATCGTACAAATTGGATGTAAACATTCGGGGAATACTACATCGACATGCGTCCAATATCGTGATGGCGATAACAGTAATCTAATGAAATCTCATGAAAGCAATTAATCTAATCGAAAGGTTTTTCTCACATGAGTTACATGAGTTAATTTGCCGGGATTAGCGCTAGATGCAACTCGAAAGCCTTCGAGCGCCGAAACGAAGCGTGCGTACAGTTTGATGAAGTGCGATTCGTGCGACTCTTGGACTCTTTTAATACTGCATTAATTACGATGATAAGCGTTAGGCTTTATCTAAATTCTCCGTCCCGTGTATGAGAGCGACACTTCAAGTTCTGCGCACTTATAGACGACTTTTACTTCGCTTGTCGCAGACCAGCGTACGCATACCGATCGACGCACTCTGTCACTGAAAAGATGCACACTCACTGGACGCTCGACTTTCCGTGAACATTAGCGCCTCATTAGCGCCTGAGACCGCTTCGTTTAAATCGCCCGTCGCGATGCGAACGGCAGGTAAACGTCGTCGCACAAGGTAGCCACTTGCCGACGCGACTTTGTTTGCATTGTTCGCGATTTCCAGGTGCAAGCCGATGCAACGTGCGGTCGTTGTCGTCGTATGATTGAAGTAGAAAGGAGCACGAAAGGAGGTGACCAAGGGAGAGAGAGAGAGAGAGAGAGAGAGAGAGAGAGAGAAAGAGAGAGAGAGAGAGAGAGAGAGAGAGAGAGAGAGAGAGAGAGAGAGAGAGAGAGAGAGAGAGAGAGAGCGAGAGAGCGAGAGGAATAAGGAGAGGAAAAATAGAGAGAGGGAAAAAGAGAGAGGGAGTGACAAGACGGTGGGAGGAAGGCCGAGAACGATAGAGGGAAAAAGAAAAGCCACGACGTCCGCACATCGATGTGCGTCGTATCGTTCCCGCCGACAGGCTGACCTCCCACCGACTGGAAGTTATGAACGAACGCACGCATTTATACAGACCTTGCGCTCGCATTGGTCTTAAGGCCGGGATCTTTCTGGTAATCGAGTACGTAGACTAGCTGATATCCTTGCAGAGTTACGTCTCGGGTTATCATTAAGATGTTTCTGCTCGCCGTCGTCCGTTCTTCTGACGAATAACATTGGTCCCGTCGAAAGATGTGAGAAATTCGCTTGCATCTTTCGCGCAATTCTGTGTGTCCACCTTTTGCTTGGCCTCCGTTTCGTGTCAGCGCGGGAGATCGATGAGAGAGGAAGAGGAAAGTAAATAAAATTCGCGCGCAACACTTGCTCTCGCGCTGCATTTATAATTTAATGTATATATATATATATATAAAAAATGTATATATATATATATATAATAATTTAGTCACACGCACACACACACACACGCAGAACAATTCTTCGATTGTTCAATTAAATTCTTACAATCATGCGCGTAATCTAATCGTTTTACGATTAAGGTTTATGCGATCGGAGATTCGCAGAACGCGTGACTGATCGCGCGACTGATAGTTATCTTCAAAATACGATACAGTGCATTACGCGCCGGCAAACATGTACGGCACTTATTTATTTTTTATGTTCCATGTAATCATAACAATTTATTGGACTTGAGTCACATCTTTCGTGTTGATTTGCTTTCTTCTTTCTTTTCCTTTAAGAAGATTTCAAGGAGAATGCAAAGTCTTAAAAGAATGAGGAGATTTTAAATATAATTTTATCTACAAATAGTATGCGAAATTTTTTCAAATTGTTTCACCTCCCCCCTAGTCCATTTTTACACAAATTAATAACAAAGTTCTTGATTTTATAGCAGGTTTTTGTAAAAGACTTGATTCTTTCTGTGTCTATTTTCAATAAAAATTTATGTTTAAGATATGAGGAAGCATATAAGTTGTTGATGTGTAATAAACGAAGTATATTATATCGTTGTTGACTTATATTTATCTCAACTTTTTCAAATTATCATCTGTTACTTAGGCAATAAAATAAGAGTACGGGAACGTACTTTGTTCGACAAATAACAAATTTATGAGCGATCCGTTTAATGCGTCATTAAAAATAGGACACTCGGCGACTTTCTTGAAGCTTGATTGTTCTTAAATACGGAAAGCGCGAGAGAAATGCAATCGAAATGAAATCGATCCGTTCTTCCCCGTTGCGGGACACACATCGCTACATCAATGAAATATCGAACGCGCACAAACACTGCGTCAAGATCCAGACGCGTGTCTAGCACGGCAATGTATCGTAAATGAAAATAGATCTTGCGCCTTTGCGCTCATCCTAACAACGTTGATCTCCGCTATGGACACCTCGATGGAAACAAATGGCGGAGTATAGGAAATTGCGTGCACGCGGGTGCTGTCTGGCGCGTTTATTCGACGTACACCTTCTCGGCGAAGGAATGTCTCCTTCGCTATCGATCTTATCAATATGGTACAAATACTCGAAACGGAAACGACGTTGGGCGGCACGGCTCAAGAGTCCGGAGGCAATTAATATTCATCGCATTCTTGCCGAGTATATTTTTAGCTGCTTATCTTATCTGAAATCCTTTGACACTTGGACTTGTTTTTAATTTCCAAGTTTCGCGCATAGTGAGACGTTTCCATCTGGAAAGCAACTCTTACGGTAAAGAACACCGTGATTACGTCGAGATAGTTTCCGCGCAGCAAAATCTCGTCGCAATCGTGCTTGATAAGAGGAACTCAACGTTCTCGTTACTTCACGATAATATTTCGTGTTATATCAGAGGGGTCAATGTATACTTATTTTTCTCATCTACAGGTAACGCGTTATCTCGCGGAGATGTTTCGCTGATTATGAATACGAGGCATTTCATTTACATTATGAGTGATAAGGCAAAGTACTTATCCGCGGGAGCGCGTCATCGCGCCCGATTGAATCCTATATTTTTTTTTATGTACACATTTTAAATTGCGGAGGAAGATTATGTCTGTGACGCTTCACCTCCCTCGAATCAGTGGCCAACTGCGGGTAACTGGCCGACTACAGAGCTCACTGTCTGCTACACGAGCGACTGATTGCCGTCGTGGCAAATGTTTCGCGCGATGCACGACGGATCTCGCGGTGCATTCCCGCATTTTCATTCAATCGTTGAAATTTTCATTTCAACGACGAGGCGTTTCATCACTTTGAATAACGTATCGTCGCTGAGCGATCCGTGTTTTTCTTTGGTCGCAGCCTTCTTTGTGTCGTACAATCTTTTTGCAACTTTGCAATTCTCGAGGAGAGACTAGAGAGAACACGTGAACGTGGACGACGACAATCTCGTCGTCGAGATGACCGTCATGTATAGATGACAATTGGCTGTTCGTAATTTTGTCCTCGCTAATTTGTGCGCAAAATTCGCCGTTCGTGTCCTCTGAGATTGATCAAATTCGTGGTAAGCGGATCACCATGTTTTCGTTCGCTATCTCTCGATCTAAATAGAACTATGAATAAATAATCGCAATTACCAAGTGTAATTGTATTCATTTGAATGGAATCGCTGTTCTGGAAATGCTCATTAAAATTTCATCACTCGCTGCCGCGGAAATCAACCTATTCAGATGCGATCGAATGATGTAAGTAAATTAACAAGAACAAACGTGATTCATTTTAAATGATTGCTAGAGCAAAAGTCGCGCGAAATAGCCAAGAGAAGGAAGAAGAAATTATCGCTTTATAAAACGTTATTCTTGTTATTGTTATTGTTGTTGTTTCTGCATGCACATTTTATCTATCATGTTTGTGCTCTTTATGTGTATATGTGTGTGTGTGTGTGTGTGTGTGTGTGTGTGTTGTGTGTCCCTTTCGCAGATAACCGTTGAAATATATATTTAGAGCACGGAGATTACTGCCAACTTAGAGCGTTCCCTCGGCATTTACCGCCGCCTTGCCGCGGAATAATACGAATCGAAATTCGGCGCGGCCGAGTCGCAGTGGCGCCGCTTTCACGGTGCATTGCATTTTACTTCATTTTTCCCACGAACGTGGAAGAACGTGGAGTTTTGACCTCCTTTCCTTTTGTTGCGAAATTACACACACGTCGGAGAATTACGTGGACACCTGCGTGCGGACACGCTTGCGATTCCAACTTGTGTAAGGAAGATCCGCTCGAGCGCGGGTCGGCTGGGATCGTCGGCGCTCAGTCCGGTAGCGCGGACGCAGTCGCAGCTGCAGTCATAGGAGAGGCCGCTGCCGCCGCTGGTGGTGGTCGAGATGTTGATGCTAAATAAAACTCCTAGCTGCTTGGGCCGATGCCATGCGTTCTAATTTCCCCGAAGGCACGGCCGGCTGTGGACGCGGCGGCCCGGGCTTTGCCACGTTGGCCTGCGCGATAGATCGCCGATTGGTGCCGATTCCGCGTGATCGCGAGCGCGAAGAAGCGAAGGAACGACGAGTCGTGGGTGGAGAAGAAAGCCGGTGCCGGATCGTCCTGGTCGTTAGCCCGGAGGTGAAGTCGAACGACGACGACACGCGTGATCGAAGGACGGCGGGCCTCGCCTCGCCAGCGGCGTCCGGTCCTCGTCTCTTCGATGTGAAGGCCGCTCTGTCATGGCTGTCGCCCTTTTGGGCAAGTGCGTCGCGCTGCTGGGCCTCGTCGTGCTGCTCTACACCACTTGCTATGGCTTCCGGATTCGCGATGTGCCGCAGCCGCACTCGGGGCTCTGCGTTCCCACGCTTGGCAGAATTTGTCCCGACAAAATGACGGTGACAACGGCCACGACGAGCGGGGGACCGATGTACCTGGCTCGAAAGTGGCACGAGAGCGTGGTGTCGAGGGCTGCTGGCAGCCGGAAACCACCTGCCGAGCCGACGTCGGATGAAGAAGCGGAGGAGACTCGTTTGAGGGTCGAGAGGGCCGCGGAATATTCAAGAGACAAGGGTGCAACTAGATCGAGAGGTTCTAAGGTGGAAAGCGTCGAGGTGGAGGACGACGATGAGGAGGAGGAGGAAGAAGTGTTGGTGGAAGTGGAAGACGAAGGGGACGAGGTGACGGAAGAGGATGACGATGGATCAGTAAGGGATTCCGAGAGAGATCAAACGGATGAAGATGAGGAGCAAGCGTCCGGTGCCGAGCTGTCGGATGAAGACATCAAGGATGAGAAGAAGCGCCCGATATTGAAGAAAGAGCTCGACGAAAGTGACGACGACGATGAGGAGAGTGAAGGTGATGATAATGACGATGACGAAGGTGTTGGCAAGAAGATTTCCAAGAAGCAAGTGGGAGGTATCGAGACGAAAATTAAAGCCTCGAAGACTGTCAAGTCGGTGAAATACACTAGAAGAAAAACTGCTGACGACGACGACGACGACGACGAAGAGGATGAAGATGACGATGTTAAGGATGAAGATAGCGAAGGAAAAGAGAAGGAAAAGAAGGTTCGAACTAAAATAGATAAGCGACAAGTCGTAGAACCAGTTAGAAAACAAGTGAGCGTATCATACAAGAAACAAGACCAGAGTAAAATTCAGGTTTCACAAAGCTACGTTGATAAAGACGACAAAGACGACGAGGAAGATAAAGAAGTTGATACTGGGAAGGCCATTCCAACAACTAAAAAGTTGGAGAAAGTAAGACTCGCGGATAAGGATAAAGCTAAGACGGCTAAAATTGCACCTAGCAAGCCCGCTGAGGAAAAGCCGAAACAAGAAGAGAGAAAACCGGCCGAGGTCGCGAGGCCGAAAGTCGAGAGCGTGAAAAAGACAGTCGAAAGCACGAAGAAACCTGAGCCGATCGAAGCTGCGAGGAGAGCCGCGGAAGGTGCGAAGAAATCCGTCGAGGCCACTCAGAAACCAGCCGAGAGCGCAAAGAAATTAGCTGAGAGCGCGAGAAAAGCCGAACCGGTGAAAACGACCGGCCCCAGACCTAAGATCGAGGCGTCCGGTGCCACGGGGAAAGTAGACGAGAAATCGAAGATGCACGCGAAGGCGGAAGCTCCGGCTCCCGCGCCGAAGATGAAGAAGGAGCAAGCGAGACAGAAGCCGCAGAAGGCGGACGTGAAAAAAGCAGCGGCGAAAGCAACTTCGAAAGTAACGTCGAAGGAAGTTTCGCGGGCGGAGAGTGAGTATTATGTGAAGATGCGGTTCGATATGAAAAGCGGGCTTCCCGTCTGAGGATGTTTGGTGTTTCCGCGTGAATAGGCACTCTGTATATATATCGGCGGTATGTAGCAACTTAATTAATAATCTAACTTAATCCAACAGCCGCTTTCTGAGCTTTCGCTCTCATTCTTCTCCCGCCGGAGTTTTCTCCCGCGCGGAGAAATCCCTCATTGTTTCTTCCTAGATGGAGGATTCTCCGCGGAGGGGGCTTTTTCGATTTTCACGGTGCCTCTCGGTTAACGCAGCGCGCATTAGCAGCGAGTGTCTAAATATCCTCGATGCGACGCGGAAGCGACCGCGGGATGAAGCACACTCTTGCGTGATCGTTGTACTTTTTAGAGCGAGAGACGAGGCCGAAAACAAGCAAACATACTGGCGCATCCGTTACATTGTCCGAGCTGAATGATGCAATACTGCATGTGCCGACCTTCGTGCCAAATTTCATGAACGTTGAAGACCCCGAGTGTCAGCGGCACGGCAAGATATTCCTGCGACAATTGAGAGGTTACAAGTTGTGGGCGCTGCAAAGTGAGTCGATTGACAGAAATAACCGTGTTCGCTCTATTCTCGAGCATCGACCGGCCGAAAGTCATTACGATCGTCTCAGTTTCGACGGGTTTCTTCAGAATGCTTCGTCTAATAACTATTATTTCCGTCGAGACTTTTTTGCCAATAGTGTACTTACCGTTCTTACAAATCGAACAGATCGCAAGTTTCCACGTACGATCTAATTGCTCTCTTCGTGATCTTCTTTTTTTCCTTTTCTCTTTTCATAAACTCCGAGCGAAATATGTAGATGCTGTCGAGCGACTGGAGCCTCGGTCCAAGTTTTCCCGTGTTTGTTTGCACAGCCGAGTGTTTTCGGCTTGGAAAAACAGCATCAGAGCTTGGTCGGTATAAGGGCTTACCTTGCTTGCAGTGTTGGACTCGAGCGCAAAGATTCCGTCAGGCTTGTTGCGAGGGAACGTGAATCAACTCGGGGATTACGACCAATGCTTGGGTGTGTTGGCGCATGTTAAGGTGGATGAGAGGGCGATAAGAATTCAGGGGAAATATTGTTTGGCTACGGTGGACCTGCACGCTTCCCATCCGGATATGAGGCTGCCGGTCAATCTAATGCAAGCCCGCGCTTTTATACGAGGCAACATGCACGATGTAAGGAGTTCCGCCGGGAAATAAGTTAACACGAAATAGAACGCTTCTGAGAGAGTGCATCATCTGTCTTAGACTTAGAATGTACATTTAATTGGCTAAGTGCCCGGCGAATGCCAAAGGCACGCGCGTATGCACACACAGATACGCACAGTGTCTTCTGTCTGATTTGAACGATGAAAGAACTTTTCTCGAGGCACAAGTGCGGCGAGAAAAGCATCACGAAATCCCTCCAATGTGCCAATCGAATGTTTCAGCCGGGTCATTTCATTCCGAAATTCACTACGATGAATTGGGCGCTGTGCCTCCCCGCGGTGTGTTCCGCCAAGGACGCTGAGCGCGCGTTGGAAAGCGCCCTGAGTGATTACAATGCAACTGTCGGGATTAAGTTTACGGTGGACGTCGATCCTAATCTGTGCTACGTCAAGCAAAAGTCTCAGAGTTACTCGAAGGAGACGATCGGCGTCTTGTACGTATCTGCCCTTGCTTCGTTACTCGTCCCGAGAGGAAAGAAACGCGAGAATATCCGCGCGAGAATAACCGTCCTAACTCTCTCTCTCTCTCTCTCTTCCATTTTATAGATACTTTTACGCGATGGTCATTTGTCTCGTTATTATAGCGACCGTGAGGGATTACCTGGTGGAGACGCAAGGAAAGGGTATGGCGATTCTCTTTCCCGCGACAGATAGATCTCCTCCTCGACGGAGAATCGTGAAATTATGTTTACGCAAATATTTCAGCAGGGCGCCGCGTGGCGCGTCTTGCGATTACCGCGCATAATACGCGTACCTTTTTCGCAGGAAATTACTCTGAAAGGATAATCATGTCATTTTCCTTGCGAAGGACGATTAAAGCCTTATTGAAGGAAGAGACGGGTGCTGCGGATATTACGTGCATCCACGGAATAAGAGCGCTGGCTATGATCGCTCTTTACGTTGCTCACCAGCTTATAACAATTTCCCGAATACCGCTTAGTAATCGTACCTCTTTCAGCGAGGTAAGACTGCCTTTTGGATTATAACGTTCGGCCGTATCGCTGCATCGATCGAATTCTGTTTAAACAGATCGCCAACAGCCCGGCCAGTTCTATTTTGCGAGTATCGTTAGTTTACACGGACGCCTTCCTGCTGCTAAGCGGCGTCCTCACCGCTTACAATATGGCGTACGAGCTGAGAACTCGCGGAGAGATTCGCTGGTTCTGTCGCTTCATCGGCAGATTCATCAGGTATTTAGTGCTCTCACCGACAGTCGTTGCTGCAGGTCGTTTGATCGATGAAACGACGCGTGATCGTGAAATCGTTATTATCAGACGTATGTTATTTGAACGAATAAAACTTGCCTCTCTTAACACGACAACGTGGGCCATCGCGGTGGCCCACGCGACAAGTCACGTAAAATTAGTCCGGCATGGGACGTGTTAAAACATTAACAGCTGACGACGATAGACAGGCGATAAGTTAAGTTTCAATTTGGCTGCGTTCAGCAGAACATATTTACCGTCGTTCCGGGTGAGACGACTTCCGAACATTGTTTTGGATATCAAACGTTCACCTTACTTCGCGGTGCATTCCAGGCTCACGCCAGCATTGCTCGCCGTCGTGTTCTGGTATGCCTTCGTGATGGAACATGTCGGCTCGGGTCCTCAATGGAACAGCGTTATCGCGGCGAACGCAGAACTCTGCAAGAATAACGCGTGGACGAATTTGTTATACGTGCAGAACTTCTTCCCGTTCGAGGAGATGGTGAGTAGGAGAGAAAGAGAAAGAGAGAGAGAGAGAGAGAGAGAGAGAGAGAGAGAGAGAGAGGGAGAGAGATATGTACATGTGCATTTGAAACATCCAAGCATCGACACGATTTTCTCTTTTCTTCCGGTCCTTTTCGTTCGAACAGTGCGCTACGCACACGCATCAGCTGGCTCTGGATATGCAGCTGTCGCTCTTGGCTCCTATCTTAGTCTTCTTCCTACAATACAAACCCCTCATCGGTATCCTCCTGACGGTCTTCCTCATCCTCCTGTCCGCCACGCTTCGTTACGTCGCGACGGTGAACAATTATCTGTCGCTCGTCATCTTTCACGGGATATCGTGAGTACATCTCGAATCTTGAATCGTCTCTGCGCCGCTACCACGCGATCTCACCACGCTGCGTATTTTCTCGATTGCAGACTGAAACGCCTTTACAAGACTGCTAATTTAACTTACACATTACCACTGCACAGAGCCACGCCGTACGTCTTCGGCGTAGGCCTTGGTGTGCTGTTAGATTACACCGGGAAGAACGTCAGGATCCACAAGGTACGCGAGTGGCGCTTACGTAGTAGTCGCGCCTGATCGAAGCAATCGAGGTCCTGATTGCAGGTGTTAGTGATCTTGGGCTGGTTGATCGCGACGGCCTTGGGTTCATGGTCGTTATTTTCACCCTGGCGTCAGGCCAGACGAGACTATGTGTACGACGCTGAAGAGGCTGCTCATTATGCGGTAATCGGGCCGGTGTTGTGGGCAGCGGCTCTATGCTGGTCAATATTTGCCTGCTTCACGGAGCACGGAGGTCTGTTAACGCGGTCTGATAATGCCGGCCGGTATGCAAATAACACGAAACACTGATGACAATAATCGCTCGCTCCGCAGGCGTCATTAACAGATTTCTCTCCAGCTGTTGGATGCTGATCGTCAGCAGGATGTCGTACGCCGTCTACTTGACGCAATTCGCAGTGTTTTTCCACAACATTGGGACCACGAGATCCTCCGCGGAGTTTCAGCTCTACAGGGCGGTAAGTCGCGGGGATATTCCCGAGATCGCTCGTCGCTTGAAAATATCGCGGCACGGCACTATGCATACACAGCGGCTAAACACGTCTCTCTGATTGTCATTTCTTTGTTAGAGTATATTCTTAGAGCTCCCGAGAAGCTCCCTTTAGAAGCGTCAAGCACTAGAGAAAACAACTTGCCCCGGCTAGAAATAATTTCGACACGTGAGACTTCGTCCGTTCGGAATCGGACAGCCACGTTTAGACGCCGTTTAATGGACGACGGAAACGTACACACGCGCGTGCGCGCGCATACATACACACATACACACACACACACATGCGCGGTTACATTATTTTTATATTTGCAGATCGATCCTCTGGAACTAGCGATAGTGATAGCCGTGTCGGTCGTTTTGACGTTACTTTTGGATCTCCCGATGCAGGAGGTGAAGAGCGTCATGATGGAGAGCACGGACACCTTGGCGCTCGAAGCTTCCGAAGACAAAAAGACAAGCGTCGAGAACAAAGACGAAGTGGCGGAAGCCGCGGAAACGACGGGCGAGCAAGCGAGTGTTCCAGAGGACGACGAAGTCGTCTCGGCTGAGCGAGGCTGGCGAAAGGATGTAGCTGAGGCTGCAGCCGACCTCGTGGAGGAGGAAACGGCAGATGTGCCGACCATGAAGAAAGTAAACGGTAAGCGAACATTCGTCGATAGCGAAACGCACGATTCGCGAGAAGAGGCGTCGAGTAGAAATCGTGCCAAAGCGGCGACTAGAAAACCATCAAGAGACACAGACGATGACGACAATAAGAGGCCCGTGAGCAGTCAGGGATACATGCCTGATGACTCCGAAGAAGATATCGTCGAGTTCCTCAGGAGTCAGCGGGAATATGAAATCGTGGGGCAACGGAACAAGCCTCTGTCGTCCAGAACCAAAGATAGCAAGAGATCAGCGAGGAAGAGCGAAAATGATGACGACTCGTGGCAGTTCCAGCAGCCCGAGTCCAGAGACAGGACTCTGGCCAAGGAAGCGGACGATTATCATTCTTGGGAATTCGTCGGCAAGGACGCTTCGTTCGCCAGAGACCAGCAGGAGTCGGGCGCGAAAGCACGCAGGACATTTTCCTCAGAGAGCGAGGAGGAGCCAGCGGGCAAACGAGCGCCGAGGCCTGAGCGCGTTTCAAGTTCTGAGACGAGGACGAGCGACGAAGAGGAGTGGGAGCACGAGTTGCGAATACGGAGGAAACAGTTCATGGAGAAACTAATCTCCCAGCAGCGCGAGTCACTGGGAGAAGAAGAAGACGAGACTGATGCGGAGACTTTGAAGCGCAGGTCCTCCGCGGAGGGCAGGATAGCTTTGTTGAAGGACGACCTCTTGGGCGAGGACAACATGGACTCGTGGACCGTCAGTGTTGGGCCGCGGCTCGCGTTGCTTGGGTCGTCTCAGGAACGAAGCGAGCCTGAGGATGATGGCGGCATTTACATGCGGCGAAGGGAGTATCGCGAGCAGGGCCCACCATCGAGGGAGGAGAGCCAAAGTGAAGAGGAGAGTAGCCAGGACACGTCGAGGAGGCAGTCGTACACCAGCGGCAGCCAAAAGACTTCCTTGGAGGAGGAGGACGACGTGAATAGCCACAATTTCGTCTTGACGAAAGAAAGCAAGAGGGAGTCTCTGCAAGATCTGTCCAAGTTATCGCAGGAAGAACTGGCAGATTCCGGCTGGAGCGTCGTGAAGAAGGAGGGTGCCGAGCTCTCGGTGAAGCCGTCGACCGGCTTGTTCAAGCGAGAGTCGATCGTGAAGAGTCAAGCCAGCGAGGAGGATCCCGAGTATCTCTTGCCGGAGCGACCCAAGCTGGTTCAGCAGGAGCGCGAGCATCCGTTCAAGAAGGCCTGGCAGATGCAAAAGTCCAGGTCGGAAGAGGACGGCTCTGCGGCGTACGCTATCAAGGATCTTAAGGATCCTAAGGATCCTAAAGATCCCAAGGAACAGCATGAGAAGAAGTCCAAGGAGCAGGAGGCGCCGATCAAACGCGAATATAGCGGTGAGCAATCCGAGGATATCGAATCGTTCGCCGACGATGAGGCTGAAAGCAGTGTGATGTTGCAAAGTAGGAGCACTGACACGGAGGATAACAGGACCGGCTCAAAGTCTGGCACGGACGAGACGGACTCGATCTCGACGGACCACAGCAGGTCTGCGCGCGACGGAGACCACGGGCAAAGTTCGAAGTCTGAAACCGACGAAGATTCCGCGAGATTTAGTTGGCCGGTTGACGAAGAGGAGGAAGTGGAAGAGGAGGTCGAAGGTGAAGGCCGCAGAATCGGCCAGAGAAGGAAGTCAGAGGAAACGGATTGGCATTGGGAGCAAGAGGAGACTTGACGAAAATAAAATTTTAGACAATTTCACGAGAGAGTTATTACGCGTTATCTTCAAGTTCGCTTGAAGATGAGGATATTTTGACGAAGAGAGGTGATCGATCTGTATCATGGCGCTCGAACGTGTTTAGCGAGCGAGAATTTTTACCGAGACACGAAAGACAGGAAGATATCCGAAGAAAGAGAAACGACCGAGATTTATATTAATCATTATATTATAAGTTATAATAAATGATGAAGAAAATGTTCTACACAGACGAGCGTTTTATTTCTCACGTCTTACGTTAAGTGTTGGACGCATCAATTCTCTTATCGGGATTGTGCTTCGGTGTTTGCTTCTCTGAAAAAATTATATATGTTGCATACATACATATATATTGCTTATTTAATTGTTTAATTGCGAGAGAGAGAGGGAGAGAGAGAGAGAGAGAGAGAGAAAGAGAGAGACAGGGAGAGACAGGGAGAGACAGGGAGAGGGGGGAGAGATAGATAGGGAAAGAGGAGAGGAAGGGAGGAGTGAGGAGGAGTGAAAGGGGAGTCAGTTTTTATATTCAGGACCGTCTTGAATTCATCTTCAAATGCTTTTTAGCCAATAAAACGATGCATATAGCATCTGAAGATGAACTTAAGATGGTCTGGAATAGAAATGTTAAACGTCGAAATTCATTGGTTATACGGTTACGCGTTATTATGCAGAAAATATATCATGAAATTTTAAACTGTATGAGTTTAATATATCGTATGTTGAAGTCGGATATTATTAAATTTATATTACACTACAGGGATTATTTTTATGATTTATAATATTTGTTCTAAACTTTAATATAAATAAGCTAAAATGGTGCGCGCGCAGCGCGCGCTTGTAGTGTCCTAGTTTGTTAAAATTAGTATCGTAATTGCAACAATAGTCGATGACATTTTAATTTAATGAGTTCATATATATGAAACAATAATATACAGTGCCTATAATAAACTGATAATAAAATTATCAATAAATCTATGTAGCTTTTAAAAATGCGGCATGATTTGATCGAATCGTTATAATTAAAATAATTTGATTTTCAATAATTAATATTTACCTTGCTACTTTATTTTAATCCTATCGTCGATTATAATACAGGAAGCCTATTCCAATTTTTCATTAAAAATTTACTAAAAGTTTATCATTATTTCCGAAATATAATTTTTTCTGTACAGTTTACAACTATTTTTCATTGGTAATTATGATGTACCTTTTCGCAAAAACATCTGCTCAAGACGAAGTATCGGTGATTCGAACATTGTCGACAGCATGACGGCTCCACCGAAAGTAAGCATTATTTGCGACAATACCGTGCGTAACTAAAAGAAAAAATACATCTGTATTTTACCGACTATATACTCACGCGTTAAATTTGATAGTTGTACTAACTAATTGAAAATTATTTAGATACTGTGGCGTTCGCAGGGTCGCCGTGCTGTGTAACACGACAAGACCATTTACCAAATACGCGGAATATGTCAATCGGCTGAGAACGACAAACACTCTATGTCTCAAAAAATCTCGTATGGGTCCTGCAATCAAAGATAACACATCGTTCTTGGAGAATCTATTAATCATTAATTAATTGTACACAATGTATACAAATTATATCCCATTTTTGAGAGTGACTTTGAAAAGTGACTACCTACCCGCGTTATCAGTAATAGATGCAATTAAAATCCAACCAATACCCGTGCACCAAAAAAATCGATGCAGAGGTGCATATATGGCGGCCTCGACTCCAGTAAAGTCCTTTCTTACAGTATAAAATACGGTGATGGAGAACATCGATATCAGCAGCGACAGTGTTGCAAATAACCATCCGAATTTGACAATTATCTGCGCCGTGCAATTTACATTTTAATGAACCTAATTTACACCACGGCTGTCTATTTTATTGTATATACAAGCGCGAAAATAACACGTGCTATACTTGGCTGTTGAAAGAATTTAATACACCTAACGGTAAACTTTGTTAATTTTATATGACGTTCATACTGATTTCCGCGTTGAAACGGAGAAATATATTCGCAAAAAATTTGCGCTGAATATACCTTCGACAATTGACGTTTGTCCGCTTGCAGCCGATAAGCGATGTAGCCACATACAAGGCCAATGCAGTACGATTCTGCCCTCATGTGGGTTTTAATATAAGAGTTCATGAAGAAGTGATTGGTTGCAGTGTCTTTAATTTCACTGCAAAGATATTTCATCGAATTATCTCGAGAGGGTCGAGCGTTAAAATTCGCACACTATGCAAAGTTAAATATAACTCTTTAGTGTCTTGTATTACTGCAAAATAATTAACAGGTGTAACATATTTTCTAAATATGTTTTAAATCCATCATATTGACCATCATATTAACAGGTGTAACATATTTTATAAATATTTCTTTACACCAACGACGATTACGATAAGAGTTGTAATGAAAATTACATTTATAACTAGGAGCATTTGTGAAATCGTTTCTTGTTAATTTAGAGATTGTCTGAGAAACATACCGCGAGTAAACCATCAATGTTGGATCCAAATTGTCGAGAAGCGTTATCGCGAACGGTATTGCCATCAAAATCGCTGTTACACCGATGAGCAAACATTTTCCAATTTTGCGCCATCTCCACAAAGGATATATGATTGCCGGTGCTAATATGAAAAGTTGAGTATCCACTGCGAGATACCATGATTGGAACATGCACTAGACAGCGGAAGATAATTGCGAGGAAAAATAGACGATTATAAATGCTAAGTAGCACGTAAATAATAACTCCGGAACTGTTTTCTCTCTGCTTTTTATCATTTTGCCAATTGCATGATGTAACGCATTTATTCCGCATAAATTGCTTTTGAGGAAAATCAATAATATCTATAATTCGCGGCGACATTTTTTTTCGGAGAACTTACTATTTTGTCCGTGCTGACGTAATTATTTACGTATAGAAGATTAGTCCACCACGAAGCCAAACACTTCTCTTTCTCACGTCTCATCATAGACCAAAGCGGACCACGATCCAGCTGTGTCAACCACGTGGCATACAGGCCTATTATTACCAAGTAGGCTGGTGTTAATCTGCGTTGAAGGAAATTATACGTATGTTAAAACAATTAACACGTTTAAAAGTACAGGTGCCGTGAGAGCACATGCATTGCTGAAAACGATGTAACTCTCTTTTACTCAAAAATTTCCTGTTCCTTTCTTTCAAAGGTTACGCAAGTTACATCAATGGAGATTGGAAGAGGAATTTGAATATCAATGTTACTTTCATGTTTACTCTCATGGTGCATTCATTTCATATGCTAACCTGATGTAACGTACGGCATATAAGAGAAGAAAATTAATCGATTTCTTCTTATCGAGTTCTTGAAGAAGTATTTTGCAGAGGAGAAAACCGCTCAACAGAAGAAACGTGTCGACCAGCAGAGCATTATTGGTGAATACAGAATTCTCGATCCTGCTTATCGCCTGTAAGACAACGTTCTTCCTTATTAAGGGGACAATAGTCGCTTTTCGAAAGTACGAAACGAGGGTTTGAGTTAATACCTTGTCGTAAAACTTTTTATCTAACAGTGGACCACTCATGATGAATACGAGCGCGTGCCCGGCGACGATGAATATCATTGAGAGAAATTTTATACCGGCGACACAGTCGATATATAAGTTGTCGACGCGCGAGGGGCTGAAAAGTTTCTTCAGATTCCATATTAGAGAGAATGAAATCAGAATGGTGGGCAAGATTCCGTCCGGTATTTTATCTTTGTTTCTTAAGCAGACGGCATGAAACATGGTGCCACCGAGGACTATTAAAACTATAGACAGGATCACGCATCTGTACGATATAGACAGAACAGAAATTACAATATTGTTACATTCCTGTTAGACGAAATCAGGCATTGAATTTATTTAATGAACTTCTCGTACATTGCACACTTTCGCACATTTATGTTGAGGATAACGCGTTCGCTACTTAATAATTTCTTATATATGCACATAACTTTACATTTCGAACCGAGACAATTCATAAACGATTTTGCTGATAAAATTAACAACTAGCGCGAGGTCTGACAAGAGGGCTCTCAACGACCGTGGACTTTGTTAATCGAGAGAGTCGTGGAAAAATATCCGATGGTTTCACTGAATAGCAAATATAGTTTGGCTGAATGGCCTGTAAACTTCTCTTTATCACAGTTGTATCACAATTTACGGACAAAACTGTTACCGTTCTCCTTCCCTCTGTCGTGTCATTCATTTCATTATTCACTTTACTTTCGCACGTCACACAACTAAATATTTCCACAAGTAATATATACTTGGATATTTCCATCGATTGCTATGAATTGTAAATGGTTGTAAACAAGCCCCTTCTGCAACAGCGCGTTTGCCTTTACATGCATCGAGACATTTGACATTTACAAAATGTGTTGTAACATTTATCGGCGATTAACATCTATAAGAGAACAAGAGAGAGAAGGAAGACAAGCATATTCATAACTCACATGTAAACAATATCCAGCGTACCGACGGCCTCGAATTCGTCCTTGTAACACGACGTCTCGGACGTCGCGACCGTCAGCTTCAGACGAGAGTCGCTGAAGGCCGCGTCCAGAATCCTCTGAGCGACCTCCTCGATATCCTCCGCCGCGCATCCGGCCGGCAAGCAGATAGCCCAGTACAATTTCCTTATCGGTTCCCGATACCGTTCCTCGGCGCTTCTGAAAGCCTCCCATATAGAACCGTTCTTACCGAGATAAATCTCGGGCACTTGGACGTCGACTTCGCTCAGGCAGTATCGCCCGCGAATACCCGCCGGTGCACCGTCGTCGAGACCCAGGTCCAGGCACTCGTCGAAGTTGCCCAACTGATAAACGGAACCCGCTAGCACACCCGTCGGAATTTTCGCGCTAGCGTCGTAAAACTTCACCGCCCATCCGGTCAGGTTGTGTAGACCTGCCAAAACGGACCGGCATTCGCTTCTGCAAGTATCGTCGCGGATCGCGTCGATCGTCGGCTGGAGCAACTCGAGCTCTCCAGTTAACAATGCGGAGCTCTCATTGCCGCTGTCATACGGCGGTAGCTGTCGGCGGACACCTCCACGTCGGACGATCCTGAAAATGTGTTCTTCGTCCGTGATGGAAACACCAGCGATCATCAGGAGCAGTGACAGCCGCAACGCGTTCAAGATCACGGTCGATATCATGGCCGACCGAGTTCTTCTCGCGCTTCAATTTGCAGACAAGTCTCGTTCTTCAGGAAGCCACGGCGAGTAATTTCATCGTCGTCCTTGCATGAGCGAGCGAACGAGAGTGGATAAGCTACTTCCGAGACTCGAGTGAGTTGCAGTCTCGCGCGATGATTCAGGAGGAAGCGCCAACGTTGATCCGTCCACCCGCGCGTCGATCAGTCCTGTTCTCGGGAGATCGTGATGTAATCGCGATCTTGAGCGGCCGATTAGTGATTCTTAGTGGCTATCGCGGCTGCTCGCTTCTGAGTCCACGAAGCGACTGCCGCTGATCGTCGAGGAGGAGTCTGTTCAATAACCTTCTTAATTCCCTTTCTCTTGCTTGCTTGCTCCTGTATTTTTACACAGGATCTCGCTTCTCTCTAATCCATTTCCTCTCCTCCTCTCTGTTCCTCACTCCTACTCTTTCAGGGCCTAATGACAATTGTGTGCAATATTAACCCTTTATGGGCCCGTGTAACTTTCAGGTCACATGCTAATATATCGACATTTTACCAAATAATTTTAGTTTTCTTCACAAGATGACGTATACGTCTTAATTATATAATGTCTCTGAGATAACCAATAACAATATAAATAAGAATAATAACAATAATAACAATAATAACAATAATAATAATAATAACAATAATAACAATATAAATTGTTTAAACTGGCAAATCTGCATATATATGTTTATAATTGTTGATTTTCCATTCCATAAATTTTTTTATATTTAAAACAAAAATTCGGCCCATAGAGGGTTAACTTATGAATCTAAATATTACACCGTCGTGATCATAGCAAGATCGAGTCAATATTCCTTGATAAAAATCGATCAAGAAATAAGAATAAGCAGAATGATATATTAGCATTTCCGTATGATTGATCAAATCACGCTTTCAATGTCGGCACTGGATTGCTGCACGTTAATATCAAGCAGTTCTGTGCAATGATTCGGCGAATGACTGCCTACGCGAATCGGCAGTTCGATTATAAAACCCGTTTGGTCGGCGTGGAGACAAGGAAAAACATGTTGTCTCGATTGCAACGCACGTGCGTTGCGTTTCGCAGACGCGACGCGACTCCCTTTGCTTTTCTTCCTGAAGTTTTTGTGATGAATCAAGGGATGGATCGGAGATGTCAACGCGTCCAATTCACGTGGCAACGGGGCTCGGGGATTGAAACCGTCATCATTTCGGTGAATTCAATTTTCGATCCGATGGATGGATGGAGATCAATTCAATTATCTCAGCACCATTGACGCGTTTCTTTTTTATCACAATATAACGCGCCTGCCTTATAAGTCGCTTTGCATTTTTCCGTTCCTCCACCTCCACATCCTGTAATATACATCCTCATTTGCTGTCACGTTAAAGAGAGAGAGAAAGAGAGAAGAGAAAAAGACATATTATTTACAGTCCGGTATTGCGGGATTACGCGACCATCGATGCTAGAGTTACGACGCAATTAGTCCCCGCTAATATCCCGCAATTGTTGTCTGAAATTCCTCGCGAACAGCATCATCGACATATCGCCATAAATGTCATTAGAAGTGTCGAGCGATATTCTTCATCGCTGCCGCCTCGACTACGTGGCGTAAAACATAAAATTCCACGTTGCGACTGTGTTATTAAGAATTTATCGAGATTACGCAGAGATTTGTTAATAAAACGCGCATTAAAAGAAAATGTACACATCTCGGTCGCGAAAAATCGGAAGATCGAGTTGCGATCGATTAGGCTACGTCGCTTACGCAAACAACGGTTGTCTTATTTTCCACCCGCGAAGGAACGCATTCTCAAGGCCGAGGAGGAAAAGGAGGAGGAGGAGGAGGAGGAGGAGGAGGAGGAGGAGGAGGAGGAGGAGGAGGAGGAGAAGGAGGAGGAGGAGGAGGAGAGGAGAGGAGAACTTCTGCCTCGCCGCCTTCTCTCGTCCTTCCGCGGCCGTCTGGTATACTTTACGGAGCAAAATCTCGTAAAAGAGTTGGCGCGCGCGTAACGGGTGGAGGCGATCCTCCGCCGGACGTTATCCACGCGGGTGATGTACGCTCGCGTTTATGGCGCCACGGGGATTACTTCCGTTCACCATGCCCTATCCGCCGCTTACCTACGATCCGCGGATGGCGGCGGCGGCGGTTTTCATTGCTTTCGCCCGGTCGACCGCCACGTGGCGGTTTGCCTCGTTTATGCCTGTCACACAGGACACGAAGGTAAACGAAGGCTTTATAGTACCTTGGCGGGCTCGCACACATCGCCAGGTCGTGCCTGCGCGATTACGCGCCGCCGCGTAAAGCCGTGTAAAGATCGCGCGAGCCGCGCCGCAGCCGATCATATTTCACGCTTACGATCCACCCGCGGCCGTTTTATTATTTATGTCGCGGCCACACTGAGACTAATTACCGATCGTCAGCGTGCCGGCGAGTGCGCTCGCAATCGAGTGCGGGGGTGCACGCGTTCGCTCGGCTGAACGTCGGCGCCGAGACAATTAGCTTACCCCCTTGTTTGCCGGCGTTATTAATGTGTCATACACGGCTTTACGTCAAAGCGCACCACTCGCTTCCGCGACTGTTTGTACACGTGCGACGTCCACATTACGGGATAATACCTGCTTAAAAGACTGCTCGCGAATTGCCTTTGTTTCCGCTCGCGAGGCCAATCGAAACTCAAGTTTTACTCGAGTTCACTGAGTTCCGCTGAAAAGCGCGCACGAGAAACGTATTCGAGCAAGAGGAACGATCGAGGACGAGAGTCTTCTGAGGGGAGCAGAGGATGTGCGTGAAGAATTATATATATGCGTTCGCTTGAAATATTTACTTGACATGATCTCAACACGTTGGAAAAATGTTCGATCGAATTAGCGCGACGATGAACGAGCCAGATCGTTTCAGTCGGAGGCGATCTCTGATTCGCAAGAAGCGAAAACGCGGTTCGCTTCGTTCATTCGCAAACGAGCTCTCTCTCTCTCTCTCTCTCTCTCTCTCTCTCTCTCTCTCTCTCTCTTCCGCGGAGATCGCGCGATAATTCACTGGGACAATCGCAGAAAGGGAGAAAAATGCAGAACGAGTCGACGGCCGCGGCGCGGCGCGGCGGGGCGACCGGCCGATATTACGCGGCGGAATCCTCGCGTGAAATATATACGAATATCCGGAGACTTCGACGAGTGCTTCCGGTTCCCGCGCTCTCGCCGGTATGAGACCGCAAAATTGCATAGTCAACGTGATCTCGAACGTCCGAGGAATCCGAAACGGTTGAGGCGCGAGCGGTACGACCTTCCATGGATCACTTCGAACCAATTTGGACTACGATGCTCCGCGAGATCGTGGCTGTGAGCGAAAGCCTGGAACGGGACCCTTGAGATTCTGGACTCCAAGATCTTGGGCTGTACGGGTCCTTCATAAGCCAAGAATTCGATAGCAGTTCCGGACCGGCTGTTCCGCATCCCTGACGTCTCCGTCGCACGCGGCTACCCGGCAAAGTGTCGATGACGAATCATCGCGAACGAATTCTAAAAGCGCCTCTTTCCCTCCTCGTCGAATATCTCGAACAACGTTCTCAACGTGTAGGGAAAAAGGAGATAGCGCAGTTGCCGCAATGACTGCTGTTTACATCTCCATCATTCGAGGGAAAAATTGTACCACTACAAAACTGCGTCTAGCGTGAAAATACACAAAGAATAATCGTCCCTATTTTTCCTGCGGCAATCGGCCGATAAAAAAGTTCCATGGGCGAGATTCTGAAAACCTCAGTGAGCTCGGCCTGATCAGAAAATAAGGACGTCGTTACCCGACAACGTCCCGTTGTATTCCAGCCGTGGAAATTCGAAAAAGTCTCCGCTCTCTCAGAGCGGCGGACAGAGGAACGTATCGGCGCACGTAGAGCCGTCGTGCACTCGCTGTGTAATACGGGCGGCTCGCGGAATCGATGTTGATGAAGCGGCGGCGACGCGCTCACTCTCGCGCTGGCGCTCTCGCGGCGGACAAAGAGGAGAAGCGACGGGAGGAAGTTGAAGAGCTAACAGAAGGTGAATACAATAGAAAATATTCGTTGGCAGACGCGCGCGGGCCCGTTATTGCCTCGCACGTACACGCGACGTACGTGTCGGTACGTTCTTATTTACTTTATCGAGGAGGCGAATCGCGGCGCCTCCGGTGTGCTGCGATTTCTCCAACCGGGCCGCTCCCTCTACACACACCAAGCCTTTTTTCTTCCCAACCCTTCCGACTAAACCCACTCACCCCGCTTTGTCGCGTCGCATCGCGTCGCGCGCGTCTCTCTTCGGGAGCGGGCCGCCGCCGCCGCCGCCGCCGCTGCCGCCGCCGCCGCCGCCGCCGCCGCCATCGCCGCGTCGCCGGACGTGATCCCTCGGTGCATCGTCTCGTTAGTATGGCTGCTTATCCGCTCTTCTCGTCCCCGAGCGCAACGTGAATGCCGCGCGCTTCCCTATTGTCGTTGATTTCGGCCCGGTCCACGTGCGGCGTGCGAGAACGAAGACGACGAAGAGGACGAGGAGGACGCGTGTTCACACGAGCGCACACGTCGCCGTGCCGCACGACGACGGTCCGTTCCTCTTCTTTATCCTGCGATACGTGCCGCGACTACCGTCAATGGCACTCCCGATTCCCAGGATGCGTTTCCGCCGCCTCTCCCCAGCGCGTCCTCCGCCGGCGCGGCGCCTCCTCCAGGTATGCGCCACCTCACTCTTGCGTCGTCGCGACCGACCGAGCGACAGAGAGAAAGAGCTCGGCCAACGTAAATACCGCAAGAATCAAAGCGTCCGCGCGATACACGTGCGCGTGCTCACACGTGCGCATACCTGCTGCTTGCGACGTTGCGTCTGTCCTCCTTGCGACTTGTCAGGTGGCCGCTGCGTCCGATATTTGTCTTGGCTCGTCATTCCTGGCACATGACATTGCTCGTTAATCGTACGGCCCTAATGGCCGAGTCTCTCGCCAAGGTCGCTTCTTACCTGTGTCATGGTGTCATGGCACGCACGTGCCAACGAGCTGGAGGGAGCTCGTAAAACATCCTGATTCTACAATTCTTACAGCAGATGATGCGGATGATGCGGTTGTTATTCTTGTTATTGTTGTCTCATATATTATATTCTCGCGCAATAATTGAAAAGTAAAGAAGCGGACTTTGGTCTTCCAGCGTGTGCACAAAAATAAGGAAAGAAAAGAAAACAATAACCGGTAACGGATTTGACATCAGCTACGATGTTACGTAATTACGTAATTATTTTAATTATGTTTGAAACAGCTGTCGTATAATTGCTCGTGATTATCCAGGTGATCGGTCGACTGCGATTATCGGCATTAACCACTCATTAACCACTCAATTAGGTGGAGAATGACTTATGTTCGAGGGAACATGTCGTCATGTCTCTTTTTCCTCCGTCGGGTGCGGTTAGCGCGCAATGCACAAACAGGTAACGAGTAACGCGACTCGCGCCGGCGTTAAGGAGTGCACCGACAGCGAGAACTCTCAACCGCCGCTCGAAGGCGAGGAGAAACGTCTAACGCCATGGAGACATTTGCATACTTGGGTATTCATGCAGGGAAAGCTTTCGTCGGCACATTACACGATCCGGGATTGTTGCGCGTGAATACGCGCGACACTGTCTGGGAAGAGGGACTGTGAGAACAGCAAAGAGACGGCGGAGAGACATTGTTAATAATGCGAGCGGGTGTATACACGTCCTCGTCGGGTATTCGCGAGCGCGTCGCGATCGCGGTGGGGGGCGGGGAGGAAGGGGAAGTTCGATGTAAGTAAATTATGACGCGCGTCGCGATGTAATTAGAATTTGGTTTAATACTTCACGCGAGTCTCGCCCGAGCGCGTCTTCGCGCGCGGCGTAGAGGTGTGTCTCTCTCCGAGCGAATTGCGCGGCAAATCACAGAGTTCCCGAACAATTCGGAAGGCGAATCCTGCCGACTCAAGCGGGGAAAGAATTCGTATAATTACGCTTGCCCGCGCGCTCTCGCTCTAGTTGACGCTCGTTCGACCCTTCGCGGAGTCACGCAACGTTTATTTCGCGACCGCGTGACAAACATTGCCGATCTATCCGTCGTGCTGTTTAACAACATCAGAAGACGTCCTGCTCTCTTCATTCACCGCTGTGCGCCTCGTGTAAAAAAAGTCGCGTCGGTCTCTCTGCAGGATCGTCGTCTTCGTGCCACCGAGCCAGGTAATTGCTTCGATTATTTACAAGATTTCCCCGCGGCAGATTAAAGCGATACCTCTCTCTCTCTCTCTCTCTCTCTCTCTCTCTCTCTCTCTCTCTCTCTTTTTCTCGCATCTTCCATGATACGATACTCGTCGCTTTGAGAAATTTCCCGCTTCCTTTTTCACGCGACCCACTCACTATACCTTCCTTCCTCTCTCCCATCCTCGTCGCGCCTCGCCCCTATAAAGCCTAATCCGATCACGATGAAACGAGGTGTCCGTTCGAGTGTAATTCCGCGATAATGGATATTGCTATTCAAAGAGTCTCTCGCATTAAATGACAAGTCTCATCCCGCGAGTTCGCCGGCTGTCGAGGATTTCGCGACCCGGCCGATCCACTACAAGCAAGAAAGAGATCCGGCTGATTTTCATTTCGACCGCTCGTGAGTGACGAAAAAGCGTGTCCTTTGAGAAGGCAGCCAATCTGTCTTCTCGATTAAACGGCCCGCGGTCCGCGACACCGCTCGAATTACCGTGCAACATTAAACCGTGCACCCTTATTGCACCGTCGGGACTCGTTTAATTTATTTACGTTTATCCTTATTACGTCTCTCAATCCGGGCTCAATTGTCTTCCTATTCCATAATCAATAAGGATGAGTGAGCCTCTCGTCCAGCGGCAATAAATCGGATCCGCGTGTAATTTCGCAGGCTCCGGAGAGCTCAATGAGAGACATTTGATATTGAATTATGAATGCGTCGAGCGTGACGGCAAGGGGATGAGAGAAGGGGAGCTGGGGGGAGGCGATGTGACGAGGACCCGACGAGACGGTGTCAATGGAACGGTGGCGCGGTCTCGAAGTGTGCCGCAACCGATCCCACATCGTAGGTAGTATTATAAGTTCAGTCGAATCCTTCGTGGGAATGAGCGGCTTGCGCCTGCGAGAGACTCACCTTTGCATTACTACTATAGCTCGTCCTCAAGTGTAATCTCTAAGCTACTAAAAGGTATTCGCCCCTTTCAGCCCGACCGCGCTGTTCCCTTACACATTCTCCGCGTCTGTACTTTCTCTTCCTCGTAACATAGACCTCGAACTTGGCGGAGGTGCTCGCCAACGCCAAGTTCGATAAAGAGGGGGATACGCGAAGGGGAGCGAAGGCCTTCGCCGTGCGTCGCGCACGACTCGCAATGTTGCTGTGTTCCTCTCTACTTCGGGATGCAAGTACATGCAGATTTCGATAACGATAAATGACAAATTCTCCTCTCCCTCTGCCGTGCATCTGACAGGAGGCGTTTTCGTGGCCATCTTGGCGCTATGTACAAGACACTCGGCATGAATCAATCTCCTTCCGCGGCGCGTAAAAATTTGCCCGCTTGCAGGTATCGAAATAGCGACGGGAACGCGCTTACAATGATAAATTATCGCCGGTAATAGCAGGGACTAAAGTGTTTTGATGACGCGCCTGAAATAAATCTGAGAGCGGTGACTTTCAAGTATCTCGCCTGAGAGCCTGTCAAATCGACGTTTAATCATTCCCGATGTTTCCGGACGCTTTTCAGTCTCCGTGGACGGGGCCGTGCAGTTAACAAAGCGTCATTCGCGTGATATCGTTTGTTACAGACGTTTCTCCTCGTTTCTCTTTCTTTTTTATATTTTTCCTCCGCGGCACGTTCCATCCGCTCCTTCGGGCTTACGTGCGGAGATGCGAGCGCAGCAGCCGTGCGCTCAGCCTGCCGTAAATACGCGCGCGGGCCGCGTGTGCGTGCACATGCGGTCGCGTTTTATTACACGGCGAAAGGGCCGGCGGAACCATCGATAATTGCGCGATCGGCGCAATCAAACGCGCTCGGCGATGCACATTGAATAATATTCGTATCATATCAAACGGCGACTCGTTCTCGGATACGCGTCAAAATTTTCAAGCAAATAATGGCCGATTGCGTAAAGCAATTTCGCGGCTCATTGCTATTGAAACGTACGCCTACACTCGTCCCGCCGCCGCCACCGCCGCGCCGTCGCCGCTGCCGCCGCCATCGAAACGAACGTGCCGGCAGGAACAGCGAACAGTTTTTTTTTTGCCGCGAATATTTTGAATATAGAGAACACAGAAATATAGTGTGAACGAGAGCCCGCTGAAAAGGGACGATATTCGCGGAGTTTTATTGCGAAATTAAATGTATATTTGCACTGAAATCAGCATATTATATTTCGGGGCAGCTCGTGAAGACTTTTGACAGGATGCATTTATAAAAAAAAAAAAAATTATTTTCGCACGGAGTTGCATTTGTTACGTGATATCATGATCTGAATTATTGCATTTTTTTGTTATTGTATTTGTACGATTGCAAGATTGTGCACCAGATACTTCTCTCAATGGCCAAAGTGAAGAAATTACGTTTATCGTTTCTGTAAAAGCGGTTTATTGGTACTTTCTATGTGCACTAAAGCCGCAGTGGATACATGATGAGTATCAAAAGTTACGAAAGAGCAAACTTCTTTCAGTGTTCTATGTGTTTTTTAATTCACAAGGTCTTGATATGGAGGAAATAATATTGCAGTGTGATTATACGTTATTTTTAGTATCTTCGAACATAGTCTCTCTCTCTCTCTCTCTCTCTCTCCATCTTCCTCTGCTATATTTTCTTGCCGAGAATTAATGTATGCCGCAAAGAGAGATGAAATTGTTTTAAATATCGTCGCGTCTGCGCCAAATTGAGAACGAAAAATCGGCGGTTTTATCGCGCCGAAGAGAAAAAGAGAAATATCGTCCCCGAGGCAATGCGAGTCGGCAACATGAAACAAAAAAAGAGACTCGATTTTGCGAGTCATACGGACGTTTCGCAATCTGCGCAATTGTATTGCAATTCGAATATATCGGTTTATATTAGTTCGTCGTTTGACATTGATCGGGCGTTATCAAAAGCTCGCTATTTTATTATGAAAGTGTCAGCACGCGAACGATCGTGGTGACGGAAGCACGTGAGATGCAATCATTTGGACGAATCATTGTTAATAAAAGTCGGAGAGCTAATTGAATCTACATGCAGTGCTACGTGCGTAACTGCTTGTTGAAACGATATATTTTCACCGAGTGTCGTGCTGGCGCCAAAAGTTAAAATAATTTTAAAAATAGTTTCACGGCGGAACAATGACTGCGCATGATTGAATTGTATGGAACTCGAGTAGAACAAGCTAGAACTACCGTCAGAAGTGCAGTAAGTCGGCGGCACGACACATTTTCACCGAGTGTTGTGCTGACGGCCGATATTTAAAATTGTACAGAATTGTTAATTGTTGGAATTTTGTTCTGAAATGCTTCATACGTATAGAACTAGCCTAGAACTAACGGGAAACTTTTGTCAAAAAGCGTATTATTCACTGGCTTCTTGTACTTTAGAGGAGACTGTGTCGTGCTGGAACGTGAAGTTAGCACGACATTTTTTCAATTTCGATTTTTTAGTATTAAGAATACGGAACCTTCTTTTATTTTTATCAGGAACTGTAGAACTATGAAAAATGCTACTGGAACTAACATTGCTTTTTAATAATTTTTAAAACGTCGCGCTAACTTCACAGACACTTATACTGATCCTGGCTCGGGCCGAAAGCTCTCTGCAACGAGTAATCGCCACAGTAACACATGCCGATTCTCCCGAACGCAATCGCCATCACGTCCGACATTCGGTCTTGGTACCAAGGTGTACCTCGCGACTTGTTGCGAAGATGCGGCGGCCCTTTGTGGCGTATCACGCGTTCGATCCAGCAGACGACGTTATCCATCGCCTTGTGCGGCAAATCTCGAAGCAAGTCCCGCAGCTTCAGCATGTTTTCTTTGTATGTGAGGACAAAGAACGGCGAGCAAAAGGATTAACCCTGTATGCTCGTGAGACGCTGCGTCGCGACGCTACCATTGAAAGTCTTTTGTCAAGCCCGAAAATAGAGAGCTATCTCTTTCTCCGTAATGGCGGCTTTTCAGTTCCAGATCAATTCTGAAGTAGCGCTAGTGATATGTTTTCCGTTGAAGGGAGGTACACGCCAAGAATTAAAACCGATACGCGGAGACGCGATCTTGTAGAAGAAATAAATAGAGCGCGTTTACCTGGAATTTGTTATGACCTCGAGTACAGCTTCCTTGAATTCCTTCTCGTTGGTATCAACTCGAGACCTTTGCCGTTCCCAAACGTCTGTAGTTTGTTCGTATTAAAAGTATGGTCGATGGTTACAGGAAAACCAATCACAGACGCAGCGCTGTCTATTATTATCTCGTTGGTGCTATGAATCTCTCCTTAGTAGACGAACAGTTGTACGTTCGAATGCGCTAATTAAATCGATCTTTACAAGACGTTATTCCTCGCGATGAACTTTTATCATTATTTTACACATCTCCGTAAACGTCCGAGTTTGATACAATTTCATCTACAAGGATTGTACGCGGGAGAGAGAGAAGGTGTTTGAGAATAAATAGCTCAGGTCTCAATGACGATCCTTCAAGGGCCGAATTGTCGAATCGTCAATCGACTCTGAAGAATCTCTCGTCACGACCGGATCTCTCCAGCACAGTGTATCCTCTGGAGATTTTAGGAGAAGTTCGAGCCCGACGGAAGAGAGCTACGAACGTAGAACCTCCTGCTGCGGCAACCATTTCCTTATCACCACGTTATCGGGCTTGTTCGCGAGTTGATCAGACTCGAACTTCCACAATAGCTCGCAAGGTAAGCCCACGAAAGTTTTTAGAAACATGTTGCACCTGTTGATGGGCAGGCGATTGCTTCTTAAGTTTGTGCCTAAGTTGAGATATATGCAGCCCTCCTTCGCGTCATTTAATATCTTCTTCAAGGCCTGCAACAACACGTTGTTGCATCGAGATTTTTCTCCGCGTATTTGTGGAACATATTAAAGCGCGATGCAATTTGTTAGGACAAACATCGAGTACTTTCTCGCGCGCTGACGCGAACGTTCGTCTGTATGTGACACGAGTTACGCGAGCTCGTATTTTAAAATGCGCATGTGAAAGCGATATAATGAATTTAAGCCGGCTGGTGTATTTTCGATACTCGCGTTTTTCAAACGGGGATCAAACTTTTCCTCAAGCGGACAAATATCGGGCTCGATAAATTACAATATTTCTGTTATGCTAAGCGAAAATATGAAGCAGATGAGCGTGGTGTGAAAACTCATAGTGTGCAACAGGTTGATATATTGTATATGCCAGTTAAATGCAATTCTATTTAATATGTCGCTGCATACAGGTAAGGCGATTTACTTTTGCCATCTCGATCGGTATTGCTGGAATAAAACAAAGCCGAGCGCGCTCGGTCAATCTATAATAATAATACCGTTCGCAGTTAGATTTTATAAAAGCCTTGCGTCGCATTAACAATGTTACACCAATGGCGCTAAAACCCACGTACCGCATTTTATATTTAAGCAGTTTTCTCTCGTTTGAACATTCGATTTATTTCGCGCGATATACCGTGGCCGCGACGTGATAAAATTGTTGTTTGCGTTTCATCTAGCTTTCTTTATCCTTAAACCACACGACGTAAGTGAGGAGGGAATTTAATATCTCATATAATGTAAACACGCCCTCTCTCTCTCTCTCTCTCTCTCTCTCTCTCTCTCTCTCTCTCTCTCTCTCTCTCTCTCTCTCTCTCTCTCTCTCTTTCTCTCTCTCTCTCTCCGTTTGTATAAATCTGCACGATGTAAAGCGGATAAAGGTTGTGTAGATAACTGCATTTTGAACACAGCACGAAATACGTGACCCAATAAAGAGCTGTGCTTTAAAGTATTTTCATATAACGCTTATCCCTTTGCCCACGGCGCACATTCCATGTATGTTTCGAGAAGTTTTATGCTTCCGAACTTATAAAGTCGCTCGAAAAAAGCATTTTTGGAGGCGCTTCCGTTAAACATCTGTTGACTGTCTCGCACAATAAAATATATTCTTTATAATATCTATAAATATAAATATAAATACACGCATATGTGCATTTAAAGCCTCCAAGATTACAAATTAGAGTACCTTGGGATATATAACGAGAATGAGAGCGAAAATTGCAGGCTATATATCTATAAATATTATTCCTTGATATAAAGAATGAAATAGATCATGTTTAACGGAAAGTGCTGAACGAGTAGTTTAATAAAAAAATTTTAAATACGCTTCTAGTGAATTTTCAAATCGCTTATTAATTTTCTCTATTGTTGGCAAAGTACACTTGTATAAGTTATAATTAAAATTGTTAAAAAGAGCAAATCCATATTAAGAATATTGTTTATTTAATACTTAATTTAATTTAATAATTTAATAAATTTAATAATTAATAATGTAAAAAATGCAACGTAACAGTAAGTCATTGATTGTAATATTAATTATGAGCATATAAAAAATCTCTAACGATAAAAAAATATTTATCTCTTCATATGTTAAATGAAAGAGAATATAAATTATTACACACATTATTACAAGTCAACTTGAAATTTTTATGAATGAAATTTTTATTCATATAAGCCAAATACAAATTTATATACAATTCATATAAGTTTTGGCTAATAATTTTGTGATCTATATGAGTCTCATGGTTTCTTTGTTTACATTATTTTTCTATTTCTATGTTGCACGATATCAGTACAGAAGCAAAACTAATTGGTGGTAAGACAAAAGAGAAATCTCTCACGTAGATTTCCTATTTAGAAAAAGTACTAGTGATATCACATTAAATATAATTATGAAGCACACGTTCCTCATTGAAACTGTTAAAAAACAAGGATATGATCACAGGTGTATTTGCCGAGTCTCGTCGCCTCGTCATCTTCATTGAGAGCATCGAGAGATGATCAGTGATGCGAAATGACTGCTCGCGAATTTCTAATTCGCTCTCCCGACGCGCATTCGAATCCGACTGATTAGACTCGCAATGGGCGATGATATTTTTCGCGATACGTTTAGGACGTAACGTTTCACACGATTTGCAGCCGGCAACAACCGCGCGCTTCCGGTTGCACCCCTTTGGCATCTCATTGCCGGTTACGTACAGGTTGCATCGGCCAACGAGCGTTACCATTATCATAGGTGGCACGAAGCGTCATTGGCCTAATTGGCGTCGGTCGGCCGAACGTTTTGCATTCGGTGTAGCCGTGCAGTTGTGCGCAGCCACGCGTGATTTCCCTGTGCACGACCATCTGCACGCATCACAAACCCCGAAAGGGTGCTCTTTCACCGGTGCCACCGCCGCCGCCGCCGCCGCCGCCAGGCCAGGGGTGTGGGGGCACATATCGGATGGACGATGGGTGGCGGTGGGAGATAGCGGCGACGCTACCTACCACCACGGCCGTAGGGGTTGGCTATACGATGGCAGCGGCGGGGGTGGAGGGCACATTGCGGCTGTTCCAAAACAAACATACGACTTGGACAGGCCGAATCGTTTCCTGGTTGGAAGCTCGCCTGGAATCGCTGCGCCGCTCGTACGCGAAAGGCGCGAGTTATTGTCAGCGTTTCGGCCGACCGGTACCGATCGACCGCTGCCTCGTGAATTCCCCGCGAATGCGCCGTTACTTCGTCGTCGTGTCGGCGAAGTTACACGATCGAAGTGAATAGAAGCTGGAAGAGCGATCCTCCGTGGATCCTCGTGTCTCGTAATTCCGACGCAATTCCCGCCCGGTGCTGCATCGCGCGTATCGATTGGCCAATTTCTTTTCGTTAATATCCCTAAAATCAGCGTGATAATTTTGCAGAAGATCCTTCCACCCAGATTCATGAGTCCTGCCTGAACACGAGCGCTCGAACACCAGAATCCAGAGACATCCTGTATACGAAATTCGAAACAAAAAGAAAAAGAGCGAAACGTGCGAGCTAATTCGAGTAAAAACAAATATGGCCTTTCAAATATTTCGAGTTTCTCGATAAAAATTGCCCGCTGAGAACAGCACATAAATCTTCCACAAATTCCCCTGCGAAATTTTTTTCCCACTCGCGGGCGTGACGACGCTTTCCTTGCCAGCCGCTGGAGTTTCGCTTCCTCCTCGCCGACAGCTCATGACAAGGAGATCATACATCGAGACACCCAAGCGCGCGCGTAGAGTACGATCGTCGGAATGAGACTCGACCGACTGGCCGATCGGTCGGTTTTGCGGAACTTCCGCGGGACGCGCGCGAGCGAGCGAGAGGGAGGAAGTCGAGTCGGACGGGTGGTATGTGGGGGTGAGAAGCCCGACCTCTCGGTGGAGAGAGGTTCTTCCTCTGCGCTGCGGAGGAGAGATAGCGGGCATTATCGGGGAACTAATTAAACTGGAGTATAAGAAATAAAACAAAGGGAACGGCCGAGGAATTCTCTCGTCCTTCCCGCGAATAGACGCTCGCCTGGTCTCCCACCGTGCCGGCCAGGTGCTCAACCTGGATACGTCGTGCCTATCTACTTAACTTACCTATCTTACGCCGTGTTAGGTCGGAGGTGGCTCGCGATGGGTCGATGGAGGTGGCTTTACCGTGTTACTCTTGCTCTGCTGCTTCGTTGCTGACGTCGCTGCTGCCGCCGCCGCCGCCGCCGCCGCCGCCGCCGCCGCCGCCGCCGCTGCCGCCGCTGCCGGAGGCCGGAAAGTAATTAGGCTGGAAGCGAGAGATGTGGCGGATATTGTAGTATGGTAGCTGTTTCCCTCCATCGCGCGCGCGATGTGCCGGCAGGATGGGCTATAGAGTCATTGTTATCTAACTTAAATGAACCGCGTAATAATATCGTTAGAGGCGTTTCGGTATCGCCGGTGTCCGGGCTTCTTCGTGCTGCCCGGCTGCCGGGAGGACATCACGAGGCGGCTGGCTCTCTTCGGCTAGTGCATGCGCGATAGTCAAATTGCAGCGAGACTTCGCCGTCGCCGGTGTGGTGCGACGTGCGAGTAGGATCGTGACGTTGGACAGTGGAGCTTTATTCCACGTTCTAAGCTCGAGAAACGTGGATAGAGAGGGCGAGAGCGATGCGTTTTTAAGGAAAGTCCTCCGATCTTGGCTCCTCCGTTCTTTTGCGAGTTCGAACGTTTGCAGTAGAACACGAAATCACGACAGGACGGGTGAGAAGTACGAGACTATGAGACTATGAGAGGTTTATGTAACATAGGAAAATAGCCGGCGGGGTAGGGCGGGAGAGCGAACGAGCGTGAGGAGCTCGCGATAAAGGAGTGCGAAGGAAGATAGATTCTCCAGGAGAGGACGTTCGTGACGTTATCAGGGACGGTCTCGAGAGTGGAAATTAAACGGGGCTCGGCAGGAGCAGATGAAACAATTTTTCGACGGGGGATGCTTAGCGAGAAGGAGCGACGGGAGGGAGGACGGGGGCTTTGAGAGCAGCCTAGGAGGAGCGAGGAAGCGAGTGGGTGGGATTTCAGGAGGGCCCGCTATCTCGACTTATTTTCACGGATCGGATTTCTCCGGGCCGGGGGTAACGGTATCAGCGGTTTTCACGTCCCGCGGCAATTACATTAAAAGTTTCTGTAAGGGGCGCGAGAATTGAGTAGGAAGACGAGGGCAAAGAGAGAAAATGGGAGGATCGTTGTGGGAGGAAGAGAAGAGGGAGGAGGAGGAGAAGGGCGAGAAGAAGAAGAAGAAGACGAGGACGACGATGACGACGACGACGATCGGTGAGAAGAGAGAGAAATATTCGACGAGGAGCGAAGGAGTCCATTGCTCGTATAGGGTGGCGGAGAAGAAAGAGAGGCAGATCAAGCAGAGAGAGAGGCAGAGAGAGAGAGAGAGAGAGAGAGAGAGAGAGAGAGAGAGAGAGAAAGAGGGAGAAAGAGAAAGAGAGAGAGTAAGAAATGGCCGGGATGCTCGCTAACGATCCACCGAGGTTTTTATCTCGTCATTCCTTAACGGTCGCCGCTGTTATTTAGTGCCTCGTCATTATAACCCCGGCCACCTCCTCGCGTTTCACCACCACCGCCGTGCACCCACCTTCCCCGGCGCGGTATAGCCGCTCGTCGGCATCGAGATACCCTCCCGCTTCCACTATTAATTGTTCATTCACCCTCATCGAAGTCACCACCCCCTTTTATTTTTAATTCTGCCGCCGCGTTCGGGCGCACGCGAAGTTCTCAGGGCAAATTCGATATCGAAGGAATCGTCCACGACGGCAATCTTGGATCTGGCCCGTATAGTCGGTGACAAATCGTCGCGGGTGACGCTAATTGTTACTCGCCGGCGACAATGTCGGTCGATCGACGTCGTTTGCGATTTCACGGGGGTAGAAAAGAAGAATTCGTCGCTCGTTTCGATAACACACGCGT